AGGTGTGGAATTCACACACCAAGATGAACAAATCGAATCCATCACATTTACCCACGAACATTTCTGCTAAAAACCGGGCAAAGCAGTACCCCGATGTCTTTCACGAAAGTGGGGGGAAACTATTCTGCACCCCGTGCAACTGTGTGTTGGAGCCTAAGTCTTAGAGAAAATCGACGGTGACGACCCACTTTGATTCATTCAAACATTCGAAAATGCTTTCTGCTGCTGCGGACAAGAAAGCCAAACAACTCACGTTCACCGAGGCATCAACCTCCAAAACCCTTTGGAGGGCTACAAGAAACGAGGTGAGTAGCCTACAAGATTGAAGCTGGTCAGATAACGAACGAGTAAATGAAAACAGAATGAGGCGGAGAAGTGTGTGAAATGTGTTTAATTGAATAGGAAAGGGGTTTAACGTTAGTGGCAGGTTGTGTGTGAGAGAGAATAAATAAGACAGCCCAATATTTTAAAAAAGATCTATTGTTTTTCGCAACTTTCACCGCATAAAATCACATAAAAACCCTGCATGTTTAATCGCATAATCAAGGATTTTAGCCCGCATAATCAAGGATTTTTGCCCGCGTTTTTCTGGAGGGTCTATAGAGTAACAACACTGCAGACACTCTACATTCACTTTATAAGAAGTAGGCTCAAGCTGTTAGCCTTTCTTGACTTCAAATCATGGATTTTGCAATTCTGGGTGAGGCAGTGTAGAGGCGTCACAGACTCCAAAATAGATGACGTTACTCATTTTATTTGGCAGCTTGTAGAGCTTTTTGCCTTTATAAAAATATGTGTGTAAGGGAGATGCTGTCAGAGACACAGATGTCCACAAAACTTTATATCTTGAAAGCCAAACACAGAGAACATTCATTCTAGATGCTTGTACTTTTCGGATATGTTTTTGTTTCCATCCTACATACAGTAGGCAGTTTAGAAACACTCCATTTCAATATGTTATTTCCAGTCAGAAAAATATGTCTCTCTGTGAGGGGTTATGCATTTGAATGACAACATGTCTGACTTGCTTCCTATTGCTGTGAACCTAGGGCTGCGGAAAGCAGAAAGAATGGTGGGGTCTTTGTGGGAGCAGCCTTAGCAGCTGTTCATTTTTCGGCTGAGTTGCTTTCAGAGAAGCCAGTTACCTTTCTGATGATGAATGCCTCTGTACGCTGAGCTGTCTCAGAACTCCAGCAGCCTTTAAACCCTGA